AGTTGGATAGAGAACTATGAATTAAACTTACTCTCAGTCGCATATCTTCTTCTTCTGCTCGGTATAAATTAAAATCGGCTACATGCATACATACATACTTACTTACATACATATATCAGACAGAATTGCTGAAGTTACAAGAAAATCTGCATCTGAGCTGAAATGAGTATTGTCTTTCATTTGAATCATTGGAATGATGTGATTAATGTTTGCAAGCGCCGAAAGTGTGACGCAGCCCTGTGCTTCGTCTTTGCGATAACAAACAGACTATTAATTCAGCCAAGTTATATATCAAGATGATTCAAACTAAAGTAAATGAGCTGCTTGCTGAGAGATAAAAGCGAAAATTTATGTTATTTCGAAAATTGGTTTATTGGGTGAGACTTGGGATGTGAGACGTACTTAAGAAATAGAGAAGTGCAGTACTTCTCTTCACCTCCTGTAACAATGAGAAATACATACATAGATATATACAAATAGGAATTAGGGCAATCGAAAGGGTAAGAAAATTTATTGATATTTTTCGATAAGAATCGAAATTTCATCAAAAATTTAGCCATCGCAAATAATTGAGTCGTCAAAGTTTATAGTTAGAGAAATTTATCGCATTATCCAACTTTATTGAGTTATCGGAAAGTATCGAGTTATTCAAACTCATAAATGTTTATTAGGTTATCGAAATTTATCGAGACACAGATTCTTAGTTATCGAAATTTACCGATAGTTACCAAATTAAAAAAATGTATCCGATTCTCGAAAATTGTCAAGTTATTGAAATTTGTCAAGTTATAAATATTTATCGAGTAATTGAAATTTATAGAGTTATCGATTTTATCTGGTTATCATAATTAAGTTTATGAAATTCATCGAGTTACCGATATATATCGAACTGCCTAAAACTATCAGCTAACTGGATTATATAGAGTTATCTAAATTCAATAAATTTTTGAAATTTGTCGGGTTATCGAGAATTATCGAGGGATGGGGTTAACGAATTGTATTCATAACTAGCGAGGTTTTTCGAAAGACGAAGAAATTCGAAACTCAGATTGTAGGCTCGTTAATTTGAGTTATACATGAATACGAAGAAAAATGCGGAGGAAAATACGATGACAACTACGAATCCAAAAACGAATACGAAAACCAAGGTTAAGGATGGGGTTAATATTAAGTTTGTGAAGAATGCCTGCAATAGGAAGCAAACTAGAAATGAGGGAAGTTTCGTTTTAGTAGTGTGGCCCAGGCGCATTCAGTGTTTATTTTTTGTTACTGTTTTTGTTTTTAAGTAGAGTTTTCCGCTGAGTGTACGTCCAAGGGATTTTAGCCGCACAATCTTGGCTCGTTTCTTTTGCATAACTACATATGTATGTTCGTACATTTGCACATATGTATATGCGCACGTTTTCTATCATAAGATTCCTTACATCCAGAAATTGATTTCAAACGCTGTCCTCCAATTCTTCTGCAAAATAGCGCTCAGCCACAAGGCTAGCGTTGCGTATATTTCACAGAGAAAATGTACATAGTATACATATTTAAGTATATGTACAAAGATGAGTATAGTAAAATACACACATATGTATTTATGTCGACATATGCATTTGTACGTACATACATATGCAAATATGCCTTCTTATGTAATACTTACATATATTGTTTATGCAAAACATTCGATTCTATTACAGATACATATGCCTGCTAAGGAAGAATTTATGTACACTTGCATATTATTATTTCATATGTCGTCAGTTTTATGTGAATATTTTTGTAGATCTGTTTTTATGATTTAGTTCGTTTTCTTGAATTATATTCACTTCCTGCCCATTTTTTAGACTGGTTATTGTCTTAGACAATTTAACGTTTAAAGCATGCAATATTTTTGATGCAAAATTATCAAGGAAAAGGCGTAGTTTCTTCCTATGCTTTGAATTTGCGTAAAATTCGGATTACCAAATATTTGATCAAAGGAGTGAAAATAAATATGTACATATCGTTACCTTAATATAAAAAGGCCTTATCTAAAATTTTGATTTCTTTACACTAGTTATACAACTTTATAAAAAACTTAAACTTTTCTAGAGCGATTTTTTTTATTACTCTGGCTTTTAATAAGCGCAGAAACTCAATTTTTTATGTAACTAGTACTGGATTTTAAATTCGATTATGTCTTTAGTGACTAATCTACCGACTGTTATGCAAAACTGAATTTCGAAAGAAAATGTAAATCAAGACAATAATAGTGAACGATTTTATGTATTATCTATGGACAAATAAGCAGGACTGTTTGCATATAAGATATATACATTTATTTGTGCATAAATAATATGTACATACACTTAGCAACAAAAGTCTGCATGCACCATTTCTATTTAAAATTTTCACAATATTTTGCAAGCTAACATTTGTTTATTATGTTGGTTTTTTTTAATATGTGGATTATGCTTAAAAATTTCATATAAACCAAGCTTTCAAGCTTTATGCAAAATTAAGGAAAATTCAACGAACTTTCATTAAAATTTTAAATGGAGGAAAATGCATACAATCGTCAGAAAAAAATTATTAAAAATCAAGGCTATTTAATTTTGACACATGATTATACTAAAACTGAATGGGCTATACAACTGCGTACTTTAGCCGATTAAAAAGTGGAAAATTTTTATGAAAATGCATTGAATTTTTCTTAATTTTGTATGAAGCTTGATACCTTGGTTTACATAATTTTGTTTTAAGCATGATCAATCTATATATATAAAATTCAAATTATGTATGTACCTATAGACACACTTGGCTCCTAAACGAATAAGCCGATCGTAACCAAATTTTACACACGCACTGGATATCTTCCAGGGATGGTCACAGGGTAAAAAATATTTTGATATATAAAGGGGGCGTGGCCCCAAAACGTGGACCCGGGTAACCTTAGGATGTATTTGTTTAATATGGGTATCAAATTAAAGCTGTTCATGAGTGCTTTAAGATAGAGCAATTTTCATATAGCTGGGTGACTAGGGTCTCGAGATATAGACCAAAATGTGGACCTGGGTAACCTTGGGTGTATTTGTTCAATATGGGTATCAAATGAAAGCCGTTCATGAATGCTTTAAGATTGAGCACTTTTCATATAGCTGGGTGAC